TGATAACAGGCAGATCAAGATACTGCTTACAAGTAGAAATTACATTTCATTACATGTAGGTTGGTGGTTTTTTTTATTTTGTGTACTTTTATCAGTCACTGGGTCAGAGCTCAAGGGTGCAGGTAATGTGGCTCTATGCTCTATATGAATCCTAATTTTAATGTTAAGATGCATTGAAAGTACAATTAATATTTCTGAAATAGAGCATCACCTGTCCATAAGTACTAGTTTAATATGACATTCTCTTGCCAATTCCCTTCAACCTGTATTTACATGAATTATCTGCTTTTGACAGATGTGCACGTTGCTCCTCTTTTTCATAAACTCTTTCTATTTTTTCACTCACAAATAGGGTACTAAGTGATTTGATTTTTCTTGTGCCCCTTAACACTGTGGTATAAATCTTGAATCACCAGCTGCACACTAAAAGCTCTTCTGTATGGCTTGACATTACAGATTGATGATGCCTGACTAAAAAGACAGAAGGAGATCCTTCTGGTGATACAAAAAGACTATACTTTTCAGCAGGAATAAAAACTGGAAACAAAAGGCTTAATAAACCAAAATGAAAAGACATTTATAATGGCCTAAGTGATTTTAAAAGCTAGCACATATCAAAGCAGAAGCACTGTAAAAACAACAATCAGTATTCATTGTAAAACAACTGAGCATAAAAGCTCCAGTTTATAAGGACAAATAGCAACTAAAAGAATACTCTCTCAAAACACAGCACATGTCTTAATTATGTGATATCCTGGAATCTCTTCTGTCAGCACATAAAAACTGAAACAAAATATTCTCTATAAAACCTAGCATGGAGAATGAAATGATAGCGAATGCTGAAAGAAAGATTTATATATCCTGGAGGGTCCACATTCCTATCTATAAGGGATATCTGGGCAAGAAAACTCCAAAGCAAGATAAAGTGTAGACAATTGCATGTAGATTTTTAATGCAATAAAAAATATACAAAGACATAAAGAGTGCTTCTGGTTTGAAAATCTGCTTCTTCATAAAGAATTAAAGTTACAGAGTATGGCTCCTTCCTGTTGAAAAAAGAGAGTGATCAAGCTAGAGCAATAATTAAAATGTTGCTTTGTCTTACCCAAAGGGATCACCAACTACAAGAAATGCAACATCACAAACATCAGCTTCTTTTAAAATGCTGTCTGCTTCTTGCTCCACTGTTTCTCGGTCAGCCAAAATCAATTCTCTTCCATAAAACTCTTCCTAGAATTCAAAATTAATAAGAAACACTAAAATAAAATATTTGAGAATGTTTTCGTACCTCTCTGTGTGCTCACTCAGGAACACAGACAATGGACTGAAAGGCCAACTTTACTGCTCCCCCCACCAGTCTGACCCATGTCTTGGAGAACCCTGCCTTCCCCTGCAAGAACACCTGAGCTTCCCATAAAGCAACTCCTGAGCTGACAAAAATTAGTCAAGCAAGTTACTCTGATACTGACATGGGTTTATATGCCTTTTGTGTCAGCTGAGGAGTTGCTCCAAAAGTAGCTCAGTCACACCCACATACTAAAGGTACCTGGGTGGACTCTAGATACAGTTAATTTAACTGGTCATCCTACTATAAGGCATCCCCTCTCTCAAGACTGAGCCTAACTGCTTAGGTTAGTCATAATACTGACATCAAACCAGATATGACACTAGCTCTGTCACTAGTTGTTTAGATCTTTTCTTTCATACATTGTAACTAATGACATCTACGGAATGATTTACTATTAATCCTTCATCTTCGGTTCTCTGTAAGAAATAGGTTACCATGTACACAGGTAAACATGTAATTGAGTGCGTCCTTTGCTTTCCTTCGGCAGTTCAGTAATCATGGTGTCTCTTTGTATGCTTTAATGCCTTTATTTCCAGAATCCACCTCATGTGTGTAATAAAACTTCAGTTAGTTCTAGAAACATGTTATCTGACCATCCTGAAGATATCTGTCTCTGTAAGTCATGTTTTAGCATCTATTTCACATGGTCTTTACATGATTAGATAAAGGCTTTTTCTCAGGGCATAGATGAAAAAAAGGCGGTTTTGTTCTAAATAGTTTTCAGAAAATGTGGGTGGTATTACAAATATTAACAAATTGATAAAACTGTTAAGTCAGTTATGATCCAGAAAGATTTTCCTCTGACTTCTCCTGTGACTTCAGTGATCTTCGTCTTTGTTCACAACGAAAAGTGAATTGACAGGACAACCATCATACTTGCTCAGAAGCTGAGTAGTGCTTCCACAAAAAAATCTATCCAACAGCTAGAGTACTCACGTATTGGGTTTGGTTCCCTTTTCTAAAGATGGCTTCCTCACTATTTTTGGATATGTTTCTCCAGCTCTGTAAAATGAGGCTATTACTTTCCTTGAGAAACAGACTGCAACCTGTACAGATGCGACAGAAAGGGGACCAAACAAATCTATGAGCAAATCTTGTATCTTTGATTCAGACTGGTTGACAGCCACGCTGGAGTACTACTGAGGTCTATACTGCACAAACTCCAACAAATCTTGACACCCCATTTGTTTTTATTAGGTGTCTTACACTAGATGCACATTAGCAAGTATCAGAAGAGCAACAGGAGGTGATCTATAAAGCCAAGCAGTTGGTGCTGAGAACGCAGTACCAATGCTACACACGCTGGGGTGGGTTTACATTGGACCAGACTAATTTTAGTCCAGTACTGTAAGCGAGCACGCACCACAGAGCACATTAGGTGCATTCCCAGAAGCACACCCTTCAGTTTGCTTTCACCTAATGTAATCTATCTGCATGCTTTGGGACTGCTCACAACGCAAATCAAAGCACGTTAATTAGAGAATATACAAAAAGCCCTCCCCTGACAAAAACTAAAATGCAGACTTGCTGGGAGGTCACTGGATCCAAACAGTTCTGTCGCCAAACTGAGGGCAGATTTGGACAGTCAACATCAAATAGCTTTTAATACACGTTTTAGGTCAACAAGATAAACTAAGTAATGTCACTTGAATTTTGAGATCTGATTTTAAAAGCATGAGGACAGGAGGATTTATAGAAAATCCCTGCAGCAAAGAATCTGTTCTTTATCTCTTGAGAGCTTTCCCATAACTTTTCATGTTGCTTCGAAGAGACTGACCTTCAGATTACTAAATAAACCATTCAACACTGTCACTTGTATGTAAACTGGGCTGTATTATCGACACTTGATGATTAATTCCTATATTCCCTCTTAGGCAGTTTCAGGTAAGATAGCTTCTTTTACTTTGTTTTTATTGATCATTCTTCCCAATTACCTCATCTTTGGAACTTCAACGTTTCCAAAACACTTATAACAATAAAAAACAAACCAGACAAACACCCCAAAATAACCACGCCAAAAATATTCAGCATTTTTCTGTTATTCAGTATTTTATTTTCAGCTGGCTAGGAATCCATCTTTTCTTTTTATAGTAAATGTCAATTTTGCAAAGTAAAAATAACCAAGTAATTATTTTTATTTTGCAATTTTCCATCTATCCCACAACAACAAAAAATAAAATTTTGATTTTAATGTATTCATTTCAATTTAGATTGATTCTGAGAAAACAGAAAAATATGGAGTATATCTTGATTTCAAAATACAGCAGCTATACCACAGATGGCTCCAAATATTCTAGCCTACCTTGAATGTGGAAACCATATTAACACTAATTACAAGCTAAAAGTCTTATGTGCTGGATGTACATACAGATATGCATACAAATACATTGTGGTTATACAGCATCCAAGACCCAGAGAGCATTTCTGTATAGTACTATACAGCTTATTTAGAGGCAAGATCCCCATTCTTTGGGCTGCTACCTTTTGGTATTTTTTCAAGATTAAACTTTTTTTATCACCAGTGAACACATCAGAGTTATAATTTATACAGTTTTACATTTTGTAAAAATTGTACATTTTTACAATTTGTACATTCTTCCACAAGGTGTGTTTACTAACAAAAAGTTTATATCCATATTTTAGTGATGGTTTTGTCAGTGTCAGTTTGATGGTTGGACTAGATGATCTGGAAGGTCCTTTCTAACCTAGGCAATTCTATGATTCTATGAATTCTATTCTACGAACTGTATGTATATTTTCTGGTAGTCTCAACATGGTGAGACAGCCTGGCCTACAAGGAAACATGGAAACCTGACACACTTTATTATTCCCAGCAGGCACTGTAACACCTCACACTGATATTGAGGTTCAAGGCTCCAAAAGATGGTTCTTTTCTGGCATGTCTTTTATTTATTTATTTTTAAATCAGATCTCCAAGTTTCAGGATTGCCATGTTGCCAGAATATGAGATGAAAACTAGCATTAAAACTAGTGTTGTGGGAAGGAAAAAATATTTTTCATTTGAGTCTTCTCACAAGGTAGTGAAACGATTTTCTCAGTATGTGAAAGTCATGTACACACTTTTCCTGAGAACATACACTGTTAGTTTCTCCTGTGGGCGTTACTGGCCCACCAGCCCCAGCACTCTCCTCACCCAACCCAGGAAAGGCCTTAGGTGCTCTGTGCCACACCGCAGCCTGGACCTACCAGCGCTTCCTTCCCCACGGTGAGGATGGACGTGTAGGCCTCCAGGTACACCCTGCGGCACTGCCTCACCGCCTCCAGCCCCTTCACCGTGATGTCCTTTGCATCTCCCAAACCCAATCCGACTAGATACAGCATCCTCGGGGAGGCCGTTACAGCCGCCAGGCCCACTACTGCCGCCGCCACCTAACACGGGAAGGAAAAGGGGATCAGACGGGGAGCCTCACGCCCCACCACGTCGTCGAGACCTCGCCCCACGGTTCCCCACTCCTGTCACCCGCCTCTTCACACCAGGGCGCTCCCGCTCGCCTCCCCTCCCCTCTCCACAGACCGCCGCGCGCCTGCCTGACCGCCGCCGACGGGCCCTCCCCAACCTGCCTCCCGCCGGCCGCGCCGCCGCCAAAGTGGCCAGGCCTCCTTCCGCGCTTTGCGGCACCTGGCGGCCGCAGAGGCTGCCGGGAGTTGTAGTGTGTCCTGGGCGGCGGGGCAGGAACGGGCCGCAGGCGTTAAGCATGGCCGCAGCGGAGGTGGGCGGGGCGCACGGTTGTCCCACGCTGCCGCTCGCCAACGGCCGGAGCATCCCGGTGCTGGGGCTCGGTAAGTGCCGTGGCGGGGCCGGGCCGAAGGTCGCGCCGCAGACGCCTTCCTCTGAGAGGTGTCGTGAGGCGGCAGGTGTCGCCGTGAGGCCGGGCCGGCTCCTGGCGGTTCGGCTTTGCCGTCGGCCCGTGCCCGGGCTCGCGCGGGCAGGTTGGGCTCGAGGCTCCTCCTGAGGCGGCCTGGGCTGGGCAGGGCAGAGCAGGCCTTGCCCTCTTCCAAAGCTTTATTTCTTACTGGGCAAATCTTCGTGGCCATGTTAAATGGGGCTTTCTGTGGCTCCTCCTGCTGCCCTGCAGTGAGGCAAGCTGGAGAACAGACGCTTTTCCTCTTGGGAGTACGAATCTCCTGCCTCCCCTCAGGTATTATTAGGCGTTTTTGGATTTTATGAGGCTTGGAAGCAGGCTTTCTTTTAAAGCAGACTTTCAAGCCTGAATTAATCTTACTGGAAGTTGAGTGGTTTTTTTTGTCGGCTGCACCTGTTGCAGTCGAAAGGCCGTGTTGGAATCTCAGCTCCACGTTGGAGTCGAGTGGCCCGTGTGAACTTTGTGCCTTGTGGCTGCAGGAACACATGGCCTGTGTGTATATTGAAAGAACCCAAATGCTCTTAAACCCTGGCAAGTGCATCAGAATGCGGTGTGTAATTTTTTTTTTTAAATTTTTTTTTTCCTTTTTGAAAGCTAAGGTTTAGCGGCACATTGAAGTTGAGCAAACATATGGTTTTGGCTGTTGGTCGCACAAGTGTGTATGACATTTTTAAGAGGTTTTTACGAGAAAAAAAATAATTTGCCTGAAAATATGAAAATGTAAAGGGAAACTAACTTCTGTAATTTACATCTACTTTTATTATCAATTATGCAGTGAGAAGTTCTGCAGTAGAATTGGTTGAACTCTAAAGAATTTGTTTTCTAAAATGTGAACATGAGGTAAAAAATTAGAAGTCATTTCAAGGCTGTGTTAGTATCTGAATTAATGCTAGTGATAGTTCAGGAAAGCTATTGCATTCAGGCAAAACAAGACTACTGGCCAATCAGAATACACTCCTGCAATGAAAACTTGGGCACGAAATTGTCCGTGAAATTTGAAGGAAGGATTTCTTTCTCCTTTTTATTTTTTTTACCCACAAGGCAAGCAAAGCATTTATTTTCCTTTCAGATGACAGAGAAAAAGGGAAAGGGATTTTCTTTTTTCCGAATTCTGAATCCATTTAATTGGTGGATTTGCTAGTGGTTCAAGAGAACCAAAGTATTAAATGGTTAAAGGCCGTTTTCAAAGTCAGCACAGGCCTGTATGAGCAGAGGACAGTTAATACCAATAATTCTGTGTTGTCAGAGCACTGTCTATGCTGTACGTGTAACAGAGAAGGAGACCATTGATTCTTCCAAAACAGGAGATGTAGCAAAGAATGCCTGGAAGGTGTGCCACAAGGAGGCAAACACATACCGTATACATACCTATGACCATTGCATACTTGACCAGATTTTCCTGTTGGGTTTTGGTTTGGTTTTTTTTAAATAGTTGTCTTTTTACATAGTTGATATTAATTAATTTTTATTTCTTGTAAAAGTAAGACATTAATTTCTCTCTTGATTGAAGCCTCAGATTCTTTTTGGCACAGTATCTGAGCTTCTCTTTCTGTCTCTTCTTAACAGTCTTCCAGAGCCTCTTTCATTCATAACATATTCTAAAACATGAATACCCTTCCCAATCAGTCTTTCATGATGTAATTTTACTGTGGGTCAGTTTGATATCCCAGATCTTCCATTATTTTACATAAACATACAAATCAAAGGCACTTAACGTTCTTTGTTTGTGACACCGGAGTTAATCAGTCACACAAGTATCAAGCTAAGCTATAAAATAAAATGACCCTCGTGGTCTTTTCATCTTTATCCTATGAATGTGTACTGACTTCAGAGCAATTACTTAGGATTTTCATTAGTATAAAGGAGGGTAAAATTTGAGCTGTGGATTTTGGAGTGTATTAAGCCACTTAAGTCAATAGGAATTGGCCTTTGGTTTTAATTGGGCTGTTTTTTCATCCAGAACCACTAAGTGAATAGATAGAGCTTGTAATGCTTGTTTCGGAGGACCCAAAGTCATTTAAGCTGCATGTATTAGTTGAAAAGTCTTAGCAATTTGTCATCATCAGCCAAAGATTAACAAAAAAAGAATTTATAAGTCCACAAAATGTTCATAACTTGTTTTACCACGTATTTATGTGCATGTACACGTTCATAAATATGTGGCATGTGTACGCCAAATGTATGAAGCTGTAATTTTAGTATCTGTTAACCTTAAGATTACTCGATGAAGCTATCCCTTACACAGTCCTTACATAATGAGCAAAAAGGCCTGTGTTGTTCAAAAATATTTTGGGGGAGTTGCAGGGGAGGTCTGGTTTAACTTGTAATACTTTTTGCCGATTTATTTTACTTGGAGATTTATAAAAATAAATGTAAAAAGACAACTGAGTCCATTCTCTAAAAAAGACTAATGTCCATTGTTTCAGTATATGCTGAACTGTATTTCGGGCTATCTGCAGAAATCCTTTTTTATTAGAGATTGCAATACATTTCTCAGGTGATTGAAAGAATAAGCTGACTAGAAAACACGCAGAAAGACTCCTTTGTGCTCTCTAGCAAATATAATGCTGCTTGCTGTACTTTCGTTATATAAGTAAGTACTGAGGAGTTGATTGTCAAGCGTGAAATCAAACCACAATAAATAGGTAGTAACATACGAGATTAAGAAAATTACGTTTGAATTTTTCTGGCCCAATAAATTCTGTCAGGTATGGCTTTCAAGGAGCTTATCTTGATTTACAATGGCATCATGAGTAGCAGGATTTTGTTTTTTGACTTCACTTACCTATTCTTGTCTTACTAGGGTAACACTTGACATATAGTTTATACATTCAGCTGCCTTTTGAGGATCTTGTAATAGATAAGAACCAGTCACATAATTTTAAGAAAGCCTTGATATATGCCACAAAACATTGCAGATTTTAGAAAAGGAGGGGAGAGAAGAAAAGCTTAAGACTCACTACACTTGCATTTGTGGTCAAGCTATAAATACCATGATATGCAGCCTAACACAATGGGATCTTTATCTATGGTAGGTGTTCCCACTCAACTACTCATTTATAAATTAATGGCTTATTTTTGCTACAGCCTTACTGCGTTAACTAATATTTGCAGTGCAAAAAATTTACACAGATATAAAGGTAGAGGAGAACTTTGCTCAGCTATAAAGTAGAGGAGAGCTTTCTTTAATGAGGATGCATTTTCTGCAGGGCCATTTTCTTCAGGATTTACGATTTGGTTGTTTCTTTGTCGTTTCTTATCCCTCTAAACATGCGGACATAATTGTTATCTATGAAAAGTCATCTTTGAGAGGACAGATATGTATATTGCCTCTGTTGCTAGATAATCTTTTTAAAAGCTTCAGGGAGAGATAAAAATACTGTGTCAACTGGAAGGCAGCTCAGATAGATATGCAAGGTATTTCCAAGTGATGAAACCCCTTTCGCAGCAGCTGAGAGCTGCAATAGGAGACATGTAACTTGTTTCTCAGCCAGAACATGTTACTGGAGAGCGAGTGCAACAGCAGCCTTGGATAGCATTCTACTAAAAATGCCTGCTTTTTCTGTCCAAGCTTCAGTTGTCAAAAGGTGTGGTGGTGGTGGTTTTTTAATTGAGTTTTCAATGAGTTTCCATGTCACAGCTGCTTTGGCTTCCAAAGTTGTATAGGAGAAGCTCAATAAGTTTGTTGCAGAATAGCAATAAGTTGTTCGATGCAGAAGGGAAGATGGGAAGGGAGGAGGTGAAGTGGTCTTTCATTAGGTTACCATTCTCTTTCTGATGCTCTGCGTGAGCGTATGTGAAGTGTTCTTGATGAGGAGGATCCATTTCCTTTAAAATATCTAGCGAGAAAGATGAATTTGTACACCAGAGAAGACTATGCAGTGTACAAAATTTGTGATCTGTCTGAAAGGTTGCTTGGAATAACATGCCAAATTCTGCATTTACTTACATGCATATTCATACTGTATTGTATCTGTCTTGTATCCAGCAGAAACACAAGTCTACTAGCAATAGTAAAACAAGCTGACTCTCCTGAAGATACATACTGATTATTATGGCAGCCCGCTTTTGTGTTAGAAATATGCTGTATAGCTAAAGTTTTAATTAACAAATAAAAATAATCTATCTCTTGTTTATTGTATGATTATAAAAACTGTTGATAACTTTGTCTTTCTTATGGTTCAATTCTAACAATTGTGTTAGCCAATACTATTCATATGCAGAGGGCCAGGCATGTTTACAGTCAACAATAATGTTCATCACAAAGGCTGCTTTCAGCTAGAGCAGGCTTAACTCTAAAATGAATTTGGCTCTAATACTTGATACAAGTCTAAAGATAAGCCCTAGAGAGTACATTACCTCAGGACAGCTTTAGTTTGCTTTAGAAAATGAATGCATTCACTATCTTGCCAGTAAGATAGCTATAATTTCTTTCCATATTTGCAAGACTTAATTTTATAATGTTTTAGAAATACAGGGTAAATAGCTGGTATAAAATGTCACCATTTTGAAGTTGGTGTAGTTACGCTTTTTCATAGGAGCTACATGTATCTGAGAGTTGCATACTTTGTGCATCTTTGTACTGTAGTAGAGAATTACATATTCTGGCGTTTTCTTAATTTGACTACAGGATACTTAGTGCTTATCTAAAGTAACATCCTCAAAAATAGATCACTGGTCAAAGTGGTACACACACACACACACACACACACTATCATCCTCTTCAGGCTTTGGACGAAAAATGCATACAGTTTGTGCTGTTCATGCTTACTTCTGTTAAGTAGGAAGCCCCCACTTACAAAGTTGTCACTTCCTTTTTTTTTTTTTTTGTTTTGGGTTTTTATGGGTTTTTGTTTATTTTTTTAAGTCTGAGGGGTAAAAATGCTACCTTCTAAAGCACTTGAATATAATTCAGTA